CCATCATCGCAAACAATTCAAATAGTACAAAAAAACCTCCAGATCCGTTATGAATGAATTGATCCTTGTTTATATAAATTTCTGCCGTATTAGTTGTTATTTTTACTACAAGCTTTCGTCTGTTCCTACGCACTTATTATCTAAAAGTCGCACATGGATCAGTTATTTAAATTACAATAAACGTGCAATCAATTTAAGTGCGACATTACTGTAATTATTGAACAATATAGTTCATGTCACTTTGACAGTAAAATTTACCAGTAAAAATTTGTTCATCACCATATTTGGTATAAACGCAAACACTTTAAAAAATTTAAAATCAAATTCAGCGTTGCTTTGGCGCGTTCAAAAAACCAATAACTCATTTTCAATAGCATTTCGGATACAATAACACATATATTTTCGATGTCCTCTTATTACTAAGAGAAAAAAAACAAGAACAACATCTATTATATACCTGAAGATGTCTGTAGGAACAGACGAAAGCTTGTAGTAAAAATAACAACTAATACGGCAGAAATTTATATAAACAAGGATCAATTCATTCATAACGGATCTGGAGGTTTTTTTGTACTATTTGAATTGTTTGCGATGATGGATGTCTCGCCATTTAAATCATTAACCTTTGCATTAGTTTTGTGTGAATAATTCATGTATTTGTAAATTGATTGCACGTTTATTGTAATATATATATATATATATATATGTATGTAAACGATTATATGTATTAAACGACAAAATGTACGGTGGACACAGACATTAACATTTGTGTTTGTGTGTGAACGTAAAGTATTTGTTTTTTTTGTGAATGTTCGTATGTACGTGTATGTGTGAATAATGTTCATGGTGTCTCCCACAAGCGGGAAGACGCAATCTTCTGCGAGAAATGAAAAAGAGCAATTACCTCACCTCCAAGTAGGATGCGGCACAAGGCCTGAAGCAAAGAGTACGGGGCAAGAAGTATTTATAGTGTAGGGAGAGCGCCCTCTAGTCAAACATTTGGGCAATTAAGGATGAGTTAACTCCGACAAATTAAAAGTAGAACTAATGCAAAATTTTTGCCATTTATCAATTTATAAGGAACTAAATATGAAAATAATTTTTTATCCATCAATTTAGTAAATTATTAAAACACGTGAACCAACTATGAGAAAATCCTAATTTACCATTTTATGAAGTTTGAATCAATTTATCAACCATTCCAATAAACAATATAATGAATAAATATTGTAAATAAACAATCTAACAAATAAATAGTATTTATTATTTTTATTGTCAATTTTCAAGAAGATAGGAAATGTTATAATTCGCTTTCTTATATTTACGCTTTATTCCAATTCTATATCTAGTCGCATTTTATGATAATAAACATTGGCTTAAGTTGAATGTAATTAAAAAAAAAAGCGGTGTCATGGGGAAAAAAGTTTCCTTTTGACACTCCGTCTTATTGCTGGCACTTTTTTTCCATGATAGCTGTATTTTTTTTTTTTTTTACTCTCTGTCAAGTTGGAATAGAATTTTGGCACAGTTACGACTACTGATCTTTTTTTTTTTAACTTCATATAAAGGCGAGCTGAAAATTTTCTCGGAGAAATATTACGTTTGTTCCTTAAGATTTTTTCTCCCCGGTCACTGACATATGAAAACTTCAAAGAATTGAGTTGCAGTATCAACAATGGTCACCAGGGTATATATAACCATTAACTTCTCCATTATGCAAGTTTTCCTAAGAATTTTGTACGGCGTTAGGCCTATTTTATTGCTGTAATAAAATTCCCGTAAAAATAAAACAAGATGTAAAACAAATATGCATATAGGAAATATTTGTGTAACACTATTCCAGATATATATATATATATATAAAATGGGACCCAACAGCCGACGACGTTGATAAGTTTCAGATGAAAAAAAAAGTTTGCTTGAATAAATAAAGTTCAAATTGATTAACTCTCTTACTTTTAGTAAATGACCCATTTAGCTCATCCTAAATAGGAAACTGTATAACGGCATCGAAAGGAATTCAAATTCTGTGATAATATGTTGCGTTAACTTTTGTACAAATGTATTCAAGAAGGGCATCAATCAATCCTCTTTTTCTCGACCCACCAACAGCAATAGAGTAAATAACTATATATATATATATATATATATATATATATATATATAATGAATACATAATCATTAAAAATCCATTCGGTCAGGTGATAATTTATTTTTAGGGAATTATATAACGGCAGAGAGACGAATTCAAATACTGTGATGTTGCGTTAACTTTCGTACAAATGCATTCAAGAAGGGCATCAATCAATCCTCTTTTCTCTACCCACCAACAGCAATAGAGTAAAAAACTATATATATATATATATATATATATATATATATATATATATATATATATATATATATATATATATATAATCATTAAATATCCATTCGGTCAGGTGATAATTTATTTCTTAGACTTCAGATGTCCATCTTTTTCCAACCAGTTTTACAAAAATAAGTCTATTTTGTAAAATTAGTCTGAGAGATTGACATCTGAGTCCGCAAATTAAATTATCATCTGACTGAATAGATTTTTAAGGATTCTGTCTTCATTATTACTTCTTCTGATCATACATTGAGCTCTCTTTGACTTATATTCTCCATGGAATTATCCCTACCAATCTTCAAATGATATATATATATATATATATATATATATATATATATATATATATATATTAAAGACATTTTATGTTTAACATTCTTTTTTATAGATACAAGTATTTAAGTAAATGCTCTGTTTTTAATAAACAGTATTAAGTAACATTTACCGGCCTGAATGTCCGAGAAATTTTCATAGAAAATATTCGTCTTTCGAACCTGCATCCTATACGGAACCGTCATTTACGCTGACGTGCCTTAACCGACTCGGCCACAAAGGAGCGTTCGGTAGGCAAGGTCGAATTTACTGCTTATAAACTTCAAACTTATAAGCTCCTATGTTATTTAATACTGTTTATTATAAACAGAGCATTTACTTAAATACTTGTATCTATAAAAAAGAATGTTAAACATAAAATGTCTTTAATAAATTGTCGGACTTTGTCCAATTCTTTTTATATATATATATATATATATATATATATATATATATATATATATATATATATATATATATATACTTCACTGCATAGCTTTGGTTGGCCACTAGTCTAAAAGATAAAGGTAGGAAAACTTAATTCTAAATCAAGAAGACAATCATATATACAGCTCCTTTATACTGCTCATGTGTTCATCGTAATGCACAGATAAGAAGGAAAAGGACTCTTCGAGATTATTAATCGACTGCATTGTGAAAGCACGTGGTATTAAAAAGAAAACTACAAAGTAAAAAAGAACCGATCGCTATACCAAAAAAAGACGTCATTTCAAATGAATACCCTCCTCCCTGAAACGCAATATTAATTTAAGAAATGACAATTCTTTCTTGAAGCTTCTATTTTAGGGTTTTATTTCAAGCTAATAGATTAAATTTAATATTCCCCAAAACAAATTACATTGATCTATTTCAAAACTTGAATTGACTGAAAGGAGATTTATTTAATTGCTGTTTTTAGTCACTTTTAGCCATGTGTCAGCACAATGTAATTCACTTTATTAAAAAAAAAATCTATAAAAAATATAATATCCTTTTCTGAAATTTATTGGAGGAATATTAGATGATTTAATGTTTAATTTATCTGATTTGAAACATTACTTAATTTTAGTTTTAAATAGCACAGAAATGATTTTTTAACAGAGCGTATTTTTGTGTATAACTAATATAGACATTTAACTGTAGAAAAATTAATTACTCGTAATTTCATAAAATGAAGTGGTGGGTAACAGATGTAAAAATATATATTTTATCAAGATTTTCTAAAACAGGAAATATTCTAAAAAGTTTAATTTGATTTGAATTCAGTTTAATTTCATTAAGCACATTATTTACATTATTCGGACTATTGTCCTCATCTTTGTCGCCATATTTCTTTATCATCTTTTTTTTTTTTAATCTACACCTTTTTAATTCATTTATTCCTTTTCTTTTTCTTTCGTCCCGTCATTACATTGTCATCAATTTACCTTTGCCCGAACATTTCTCACAATTTTCTGTCTTCATTTCACTTACATAGTAGCAAACAGCCGACATTCCCTCCGTATTTCCATCGGCAAGAAGTAAGTTCTAGTGGAGCAGCTTCTTCCTGCGAACAGCTGCCTTGTGGAACCGACTCCCATCAGGATGTTTCCCCGATCACTACAATCTTAACCTATTCAAAGCTAGGGTTAACTGTCATCTTCCCCTCCTAAACGTACAAATGACCCCTAAAATAACTCTCTATGGTCTGGAGACCCTTCTGTTTGTCTCAAGGTTCTTGATAACATCCAGAGACGGATATGCAATGTAATTGGCCCTGATCTAGAATCTCGTCTGCAGTCGCTTTCTCACAGACGTGCCGTCGCCTCCCTCTGTCTATTTTGCAAATACTTTCATGGTAACTGCTTCGATGAGCTGCTTTCGCTGGTTCCCTGGCATCTCACCCTTTGACTGTTGAAACTGTTAAATGTAGCCGTCTCTTCTATTCCAATAGCTTCATGTCTCGCACTTCTCGACTGTGGAACTCCCTCCCCTTTTCCTGTTTCCCTGAGAGCTATAATCTCCAACTATTCAAATGTAATGTTAATCGACGTCTCTAGATTCCTTGATCTATCCCCTATCCTTCTCTTCATCCTTTCCTCTATCATTCCTATTTACTCTTGCTCCAACTCTCTGTAACCCCTAGCGTGGTAGTGGCTTCCCGTCTCGCTTGGAGTGAAATGCTTAAAAAAAAAACAAAAAAAAAAAAAAGAAAAAGAAAAAAACTCACGTGGCCCCCGGGCTTTGTAAGAGTTGAAACTTACTGTTAAAAAAATAAAAAATAAAAAAAAAATAAAAAAAAAAAATAAAAAAATCTTTTTTTATATTCATTTCTCAGCCGGAAAGTTTATTTCGACTCGACTTTCTTTGAACTCTTTCTTATATCCTTTTTTCGTCCATTACCACTGTCTTTTCTTTCTCGGCTCTCCTTTCTTCCTTCCTTCCTTCCTTCATTCAATAATTCATTCATTCATTCACACATTCATTCCTTACTACAACCTCCTCCTCCTTCCTCTTCGACTTCCACTTTTGTGCATAACCAGTATTTCTTCGTGGCCAATATTACCTTCGATTCCGTCATCGTCGCATCTGCAACGATTGCCGCCGTCACTGTTGTTGTCGTCCTCACCCGACGACAGTTTTAACTAGCCACGACGATCCTCACGTAACACCCCTCAACGAAAGTTACCCACTTTTATTTTCACCCCAAACGCACATAAGTGTAAGAAATAAACAAACAAACAAAAATACAGAAAAAAAACTGGGATAAAGAAACAGGATAAGAGAAAAGTCGACGTAAACACACAACAACATTCCGTAACGATGCTGGCAACACCGTCAGTAGTTTCCTCTGCACTGACAGGATCCATTGACATCTCCGCGCTGACACGTCCACAGGAAAACATAAGCCTGTTAAACGTTACCACCAATAACAACTCCAACGATAATAAAAGTAATGACGAAAGCCTTTACGGTTACAATAATATCAGCAGTGATGGAAATGACTCGTATTTCGATGAAGGTGAATATGTGGCACGGGCATACGGGCCCCGTTTTCTGGACCCGGGCAAGGCTTGGGCTTTATCGTCTGTGTACGTGTTTATCCTTTCCACGGGTCTTCTGGGGAATATTTGTACCTGTATTGTGATTTATAAGAATAAAGCAATGCACACGGCGACAAATTACTACCTTTTTAGTTTGGCTGTATCCGACGTGACGACGCTGATATTTGGTAAGTACAAAACTTACTAATAATAATAACAATAATAATAATAATAGCAGTAGTAGCAGTAGTAATGCTGTATTAATACTACTACTACTACTACTACTACTATTAATTATTATTATTATTATTATTATTATTATTATTATTATAGTATTATTTCAATGCGAAAAATACTTTTTAAAAAGTTTCATTTATTGGAAAAAGTTATTTTTTTTCTATTTTTCACATATCTATCTATATTTCCAATCCACTTCATTATCTATCTATCTATCTATCTATCTATCTATCTATCTATCTATCTATCTATCTATCTATCTATCTATCTAATCCAGTTCATTATCTATCTATCTATCTATCTATCTATCTATCTATCTATCTATCTATCTATCAGCCATTTTTTCATTTCGGACAAAAAATGCAAACAAAGCCATATTACATGCTTTTCTTCTCTTTCGCTGACGAACTTAGACTGACACAAGGCCACGTGTATGAGAATGCCAGTTATATAGTTCAGATAAAGTGATTCAGTGTTAGCACGCAGACAGAAACGGACACGCATATGAAATTGTTTTTTTTTTGCTTATATGTTATTATTCCTTATAAATATTGCACATGTTAATGTTTAATTCAAAAAGGGAACAAACACAAAACTAATTGATTTCTTTTGATGCTTGCATCAACTGTAATTATTAGATGACAAAATCTAAAATGAGAGAAGGCACACTCGTAGATTTATCTTGTTTCATTCAACAATGAATCCCTGAATATTTGAAAAAAAATAATCAGCTTTTGAAATCCAGATTTGGATGTAAAAATGATATCTGCTACCAGTGAAATGCATGTAACTATTTCAAATGTGTGGAGGACTAAGATATTTAAATTCTCACAGGCAAACAGAAAATATTGATAAAAGATGGTTATATATATATATATATATATATATATATATATATATATATATATATATATATATATGTATATATATATATATATATATATATATATATATATATATATATATATATATATATATATATATATATATATATATATATATATATATGTATTGAGCTCTCTGGTTTACATCCTCTTTGGAATTATCCACACGGATTACCAAACCATTCATTACATTACAATATATATATATATATATACACATTCAGTTACCTGGATAGTAATTTGTAACCTCCGGTTTAACGCTCTTGCGGTCATCAGACAAATCGATTTATTTTTTTCAAAAGTGGATCTATTTATGTTTATATGTGTTTGATTATTTGGGTATGGCTGAGGGCGAATTTTTTTCTGTGTTTGTTTGGGATGACACTCTCACATACAGAGACAAAGATGCATAATAATGAAATACACCTGTATGTATGTGTTTCTATGTATGTGAAAGTGTCATCCCGAACAAACATAGAAGAAATTCCCCTCCTCCACTACACACAAATAATCAAATGCAAATAAGAATAAATAGATGCATAAACGAGTTTGTCTGATGATCGCAAACGCGTGAAACCCGGGGTTACAAATTACTATCCATGCAACTGAATATGTTTGCCCTATTACAGATATTGAACACTTTACACTAAGTACTGCGCATCTATCTATCTATCTATCTATCTATCTATCTATCTATCTATCTATCTATCTATATCTATATACAAAAATGTATAAAATATATATATATATATATATATATATATATATATATATATATAGTTGCATGACACGCGATTATATATATATATATATATATATATTTATATTTAGTTATATATATATATATATATATATATATATATATATATATATATATATATATATATATATATTTTGTTGGATAGACCCTGGGTTTCACGCTTTAGCGATCGTCAGAGTTTGTCTGACGATCGCTAAAGCGTGAAACCCAGGTCACACACACAACACACACACACACACACACACACACACATATATATATATATATATACGTATGTATATAGAAATGCATTATATATTTATATACATGTAAACAGATGTATATATATATATATATAAAAATATATAATATATATATATATATATATATATATATATATATATATATATATATAGTATTCATACAGTATTCCAGTTTCCTGAGAGCTATAATCTCCAGCTATTCAAATGTAATGTCAATCGACATCTCCAGTTGCCTTGATCTATCCACAATCCTTCTCCTCATCATGGTTTTGATAAAACAGATGTTATACTTAAATATTATAATTTCACCGAAGCAATCGATAAGGGCAATAGCATGCAGCGGATTAATGAAAGTGAAAAAGAGTAAGAAGACTTTAGCGAAGAGAAGTGAGGTAAGGATAATATTTGAAAGTGCTTCGGTAAGAGAGAAGATGGCGATTGACGTTGCATTTAACTTTTTAAGATTGTAGGCAGAAGAGAATTCCACAAGCGAGAAGAGAAACTGTCAGAATTGTTAGACTATCCTTTTTATTATATCCTTACTCTGTCCTGGACATTGAGTTCTACCTGGATTCTATCCTCTTGAAATTATTTTTTTATACAAATATGTATGTGTATGTATGTATGTATATATGTATGTATATATATTTCTATATTTTGCATATGCATGTGTATATTTACCACTAATATTATCTATCTATCTATCTATCTATCTATCTATATATATATATATATATATATATAGTTGGATTGGTGTGAGTTTGTGAACCTGGGTTTCACGTTATTTGCGATCGTCAGTCTGATGATCGCAAATAGCGTGAAACCCAGGGTCACAAACTCACATCACTCCAACTAAATATGTTAGCTCTATCACTGATATTGAGCGCTTTCCATGAAATACCGCGAATATATATATATATATATATATATATATATATATATATATATAGCCGAGTTCGAATTCCAGTCGAATCCATTACATTCACTTACGTGCTAATACCCTTGGGAAAGGTATGTATCCTCTTCATCTCCCTCCAGCTATGGGTAAAATAGCAGGACAGACTGGGTTCTATAGCCTTGATAGCAACTGGTCTAGGAGAAGGACAACTCTGAATTCAAAACCTGCGGAGGGTCGTTTGGGAACCTTGTGGCATGCATTCGGTGCACCAGGTTTCTGTATTCGTCCCTCCAAAAAGTGTGGCTGATCCTGCACGAGGCCTTCACCACTATAAACAAATCTCATGTGCCGGTGTCGGGATGTCGGTTTCCTGGGGACTTATCGGCCTGACCCTCATACGTCGAACGCGACGGGAGAGTCGATTATATATATATATATATATACACACACACATACATATATATATATATTATTTTATATGCGCTGTACTTAGGGTAGAGCGCTCAATATCAGTGATAGAATTAACATATTCAGTTGTATGGATATGAATTTTTAACATGGGTTTTACGCTTTTGCGATCATAAGACAACTTCTCATGATCGCAAAAGGCGTTAAACCCAGGGTCACAAACTCTTATCGATACAACTGAATATATATATATATATATATATATATATATATATATATATATATATATATATATATAATATATATATCGTAAGTTACTGGTGATTAAATGATTTTTAAGGAAATTTAAAAACAAATTGATATCTCTTTTCCGAAAGTTAAAGTGGGTGGAACCATAAGTTCAGAATTAAAATTAGACTTGTGGGTATGTCTTGATTAACCAATTAACTGTCAGTCAGTTAGTTATGTGCCATGAGTGATACACGCTTTGGCGATCATGTATCTTTCGATATATGTCTGACGGGGCAGATTTTTTTCCCCGCAGTAGGTAGTCAGCTCTACGTTAAATAAAAATATATGCCCAGAGATTGAAAGTGGGTGAGCTATTTTTTCATCTCATGACACACCTGTAACATAGAGAGGCCATCGACATATTTTCCGCAGTCACCAGTGACTTACCTTCGCCTGAATAAGTAAAATCAGCGTATTGAATCGCAAAGTATTGGAACATGAAAGCATGAAAGCTTTTCGCTTTTGTATAATGATTTATAAGAATAACAAGATGGCACCTCGAGGTAGTGTAATGGCTAGCAAACTTGTCTCGCCAGGTCAATTACTACTGAGTAGTGAGTTCAATCCCCACTGGGTGCCCCATACTTTCGGCCTGGTTCCTCATCTAAACTACGCTTGGGAAATAACTATATATAAAAAAGGAATGTCCTACTGCAATACACTCTCTCTTGACTGATTTGTTTTTTTTCCGGCTTATCAACCTTTCCAAACTTATTTAAAATCAGAAAATATTTTCAGATTGTAAATTGTTTGGGAAATAGTAGTGATTTACTGATACAATTTCTTCTAATTAACCCGTAGCTGAGAGAAAATGTGATGGATTTTCCAAGAGTATCTGCACGTAAGTGAATGTCACGAATCCGACTGAAATTTATATTAGGTTGGTGCAAAAATAATGACGTAAGAATGTCGTTTTTTGACGTTAAAAAATACGTCAAAAAACGACATTATTACGTCATTATTTTGCACCAACCCAATACTAGGCTCTCTGACTTGCAATTTCGAACCGTTATTCATTACGCCACCCACCGATTCCTACTTACTGTGCACAACCGCTAACCCATCAAGGTACTAACCAGGCTCGATGTTGCTTAACTTCAGTGATCGGACGTCTTCTGCTGTTTCGACCTGGTAGCACCGTAAGCCGTGAAAATATAAATTTTCATAAGCAAGTAATATAAATATAGATACATGCATGTAAGTATGTATGATATCTGAATATGAAATTTTATTACGGAAAGGAAAAATGATCTTCCCACTAAAAATTTATTATAGTGGACACTTCGTATTTAAAACAGACGACATATTTCTATTTATTGAACAGTGTCGATTACGTCTCTTACACTGTGCATTAGAGAAATTAGAAGTATATAAAATGTGCCCTCAGTCAAGGATTGAACCTGCACACTACTCTGTCTGGAAACTACGGTTTCACCCACTTAGGTTTATTGCTCGCTTAGCAAGTCAGTAAGCAAGTCTATTATTTTTCCAGTTTAAGGAAGACACTTCCTCTACACTCAGATTATTTTTCTCGAGACAATATATATATATCTATATATATATATATCTATATATATATATATATATAATTCAGTACCTCTACACGTCATAGGAAATATTGGCTCTCCATAGGTTTTGTTTCTTTATTATTTGTAAATTGAAAGTGCTAATTGCGAAAGATTGTTGATGAAGTGTTTTCCAGAAACGCCTAAAATCTGCTATGAATCGTTAAATAAAAAAAATGCCATAAAATTAAGACATTAGTTAATTAGGAAATTTTTAAATTTATTTTGTGAATAAAATACATTATGAGCACTGTTGACTCAAGAAAAACATTGCAATGTATAATTGATTTTTGCAAGAATTGTTTTAAGATTTAAAATATTTTAATTGCACTAATTTATGGTTTTAAATCTTTTAAAATTCAGTATTAACTTTTACCGATTAGGTGATATTGTTATTAAGTACAAAATATATTTTCTAATGATAAATAAAAATCTATATAAATTTCTGCGACCCCCAGTATTTTACAAATGCCTTTGAATTTTGTGTGTGTGTGTAAACTAGCCAATTTTTTTTTTAAATACGGACACCCATACTCGACATTATCAGAAAATGAGAGCCGTAATTGTCGTAAATTTAAAGCAAATGCACCTAAAATCCAATAAAACATTAGAATACTTCGAATATTTTTCAAATTTTAAAGATCATTGGGTGTATGTATGTATATATATATATATATAAGCTCTTAGGTTATATTCAACCACTTTTAAATATGTTCTCCGTAGAAAAAATTAGATAGATAGACCTGACAACACCTCATAGAAACAACATACAAGTCCGTATTAAAAAATGCATTTCTGCGATACTGTAAACTAAAATTAAGAAGTATTTGTTTCAACTGAAATAAATTAAACTTTAAATCCGCTAATCTTACACAAATAGTATATTTATTTTTGAAATATTTTTTTAATAATGAGAATAAGCTGATGCTGAGAGAATTATAAATATGGCTAAAATTTGCCATTTTTAATGGGTTAAAAAGGACATTAAAACCAATTTGAATTCGTTTGAAATGCAGCGAAGTACTTTGCTTTTTGTCCATATTAAATTTGACCTACTAGCTGGAAATTTAAACCAAAATTTACTTCAAGTAAAATTTTCAATTTAATCTTAATTTATATTAAATCTTAGTTATCGCTTCTATATGAAAATATGTATATATCTGAACTAAGAAATGTAGATATACAGCATTTTTGTTTTTTTTTTGTTTTTTTTTTACTAGTTCGCTTTCTTACGGCTTATCAGTTTATTTAAAATCAGAAAATAATTTTACATTGTAAGATTTTTTTTTAGATACAAAGAATTTAGCGATACACGTTTTACTAATTAATCCATAACTGGGGAGGATAAAAATTGCATTCCTACCTTTTCCAAGGGTATTTGCGCGTAAGTGAAGATAACGAACCTAACTGAAATTGAAACCCGGCTCTCTAATAAAAGATTCCCAGCTATTACCCGTTACACCACCCGGACACTGGTAGTCCCAAGCGATCACCCGGCTAGTTAATGACCAGGCTCCATCTTGAATAATTTCGGTGATCGTACGTTGATTGTACCTGATGTGGCAGTAAGC